TTCATGTCTGTTATTAGAAAAATATATAATAATTAAAGTAATGGTTAAGAATTAAATCAAATATATAATAAAATAACAATTAAATGTATTCATACCAGTAATAAAAAAAATATAATAATTAAAACTAATGGTTAAAAATAATTAAATACAATATATAATAAAAACCTATTACATTTATTTATGTTTGAAATTGTATTTATTCATGGCTGTAATAAAAAAATATATAATTATTAATAATAATAGTTAAAAATAATTGAAAAATGTGAAATACAAAATTATATTTATTCATGTCTGTTATTAGAAAAATATATAATAATTAAAGTAATGGTTAAGAATTAAATCAAATATATAATAAAATAACAATTAAATGTATTCATACCAGTAATAAAAAAAATATAATAATTAAAACTAATGGTTAAAAATAATTAAATACAATATATAATAAAAACCTATTACATTTATTTATGTTTGAAATTGTATTTATTCATGGCTGTAATAAAAAAATATATAATTATTAATAATAATAGTTAAAAATAATTGAAAAATGTGAAATACAAAATTATATTTATTCATGTCTGTTATTAGAAAAATATATAATAATTAAAGTAATGGTTAAGAATTAAATCAAATATATAATAAAATAACTTGTAAAAATGGCTGTAATGGCTGTAATTAAAAAATATAATTAAAAATAATTAAAATATATAATAAAAAGACAATCAAATTGATTGATGTTTTTCTTCAAAGGAGTAATCACGTGTGTCTCTCTGTACACAGACACTGCTTCTCTCAGGTGAGATACGGTGCCGAGTGGTCGAGCGAGGCGTCGTTCTGTAATGTTCTGATCAGCCCGCGGATGATCGCCGATCACATGCCTGACGTGGTTCTGCGAGCGCTGCGCAGTCTGACCCACGAACACCCGCTTGCTCTCTGCTCGTCCTCCATCAGCAACAGCCACCTGAACGTCATCTGAGCTTCACTCACAAAAGAGATTTACTGGACTCCTCGTTTTATTTTGCCTATTCATTTCTGCATTTATACTCCCATCAGTGCTTCTTAAAGGTGACATATCATGAATATCTGACTTTTCCAGGTTGTAAGTGCTATAATCAGGTCCCCGGTGCATCTACCAACCAAGGAAACGTGAAAAAGATTAACCCAGTAACTTTGTTTTGGGAAGCCTTTTTCTGCAAGCGTCTGAGAAAACGAGCGCGTCTGATTTCGCTCCCTTGGTGACGTGGCAAAGGGATCTCATTATAATATTACCGCCCCTTAATCTGTACATTTCCACCCAT